GGGGGGGGGCGCAAAGGAAGAACCAGCACCTCAAACAGACCGGTATCCGCAAACAAACCAAAATGGGGACAAAGATCTGAGAAAAGAGGAGACGAAAACAAGCAAAGACAGAGCTGGAGGAAGAGGAGAGAGGAGAAAGGGGAGAAAGAGGATGTAGAGTGAGGAGGAGGAGGAGGAGGTAGAGAGGGGGTCGGAGGAGGACACAACACACAATTCAGAGAGAGAGGAGAAAAGGGAGAGAGGATGTAGAGTGAGGAGGAGGAGGAGGTAGAGAGCGGGTAGGAGGAGGACACAACACATAATTCAGACACACCTGTATCTGCAACAAACAGCTGCTGCGTCAAACACTCCCTGCAATCACTTTGCCAGCATTCAAGAAGACCAGCACTGGAAGTCGAATGCGAATTCAGAGTTTAAACTTTAAAGTTTAAAAATTGACTGAAAGTTGTAAAAGTAAAACGCCTCGCTTACTGAATATTCCTGTTGCATTCAAAGGTTCCAAACTTCTGAAGTAGACTGACTAAAAAAATGCTCAAGCTCAAATCTAGCCTAAGGAATGCAGCTGACTAAGGCATTGAAGTTGATTGAACCCAGACTAAAAGAATGCTCAAATCTAGCCTAAGGAATTCAGCTGACTATATCAGGCCTTGCACCCACATATATAATATACAGTACTACTATATAGTATATAGTACTACATACCATTCAGCCACAAGGCAGGTACATTACGTAAAGAATGTTCCAGAACTACAGCTAAAGGCAGGTACATTCCCTAAAGAATGTTCCAGAACTACAGCCACAAGGCAGTTTCATTAGCTAAAGAACAAGGCAGGTTCATTAGCTAAAGAGAAAGAATGTTCCAGAACTGCAGCCACAAGGCAGGCACACATTTACCTGAAGGATGTTCCAGAACTGCATCCACAAGGCAGGTACATTACCTAAATAATGTTCCAGTACTACATCTCAAGGCAGGTACATTACCTCAAGACTGTTCCAGAACTACAGCTAAAAGCCCTGTTCACTGGCCCCTGGCTTACAACCTTTGCATGACCGATCTTCCCAAGCCACCCCGTTTCCGTTATATTTCCAAGCTAACACACACACACACACACACACACACACACACACACACACACACACACACACACACAGACTCTCTCTCTCTCTCTCTCTCTCTCTCTCTCACACACACACACACACACACACACACACACACACACACACACACACACACTTGTTATACTCCAGAGATGACTAACTACTGGCCAGTAGTATCTCCATGCTACATTGGTACTCTCCATGGGAAAGCCTGAGAGCTGACGGATTTCCTAATGTACACACGCGGCAGCAACACAGGCTCAAACTTTTTAGCTAGCTAACGAAAAGAAATATAGGAAAAGGTAATAACAAAATATCTGGGTCTGGCCCGCCAATATCCAAAGAAAGTTTACGAAACCATGCAAACTAATCTCACGTTCATGCGGAAACGTTTAAGAAACGCTAACACTCATCTGCCAAGTGCAATCAACCACCAGTTTAAACTCCGACAAACGCTCAGATTAAACTCTGACAAACGCTCAGATTTAACCAAAAAGCAACTAAAATTTTCTAAAAGGTCTCAAACTTCAGAGCCAAGTTTAAGAACTGCTGAAGTAGGCAAACTACCGCTATACATCACTCGTCACATCCAGCTGAATTCACAGTAGTGAGTACTCCAATCTAACAAGCATTTACACCAAAACATTGGGCCTCCCTCCACTGACGAACACACTCTACACATGCATTTGCTTGCGCTTTCTGGACCAGGTGCATTCGGACAAGTTTAAGGCTTTTCAACCGTATCGGGTCCAGAAGGTGTCCAAATGCATGAAGAGTGTTGCACACTGCAGCAAGCCCCATCGGCAAACAACAACGAATGCCACACCGCGTTCTCCTTCCCTAGCCCATTGCAACTTGCGCAATGCATCGTGACGTAGCTGCTTTTGCTCGATTTGGCGCAGATCTTGATGCGGCCCACTCGACATGTACCCAACCACGGCGCCAGACAAATGCACTGGCGCTTCAACCGCATCGCTTCCGCAGCAATGCAAAATCGCCACGCACTTAACACTTTCGAATCATGTGGCCTTGAAGCGTTGGCCGCAGCTCGGCTTTGCTCCACCACCCACTCCTCCCAACGCTTAGCCATGGCGTCGCTTTACCGTGCATGGGGATGCAGATCGACGTGTTTTCCGTTGGCGCTTGTGCATGTTTGACGGCGTCCTTATCAGTGTGAAGAAAGGACAAAAGAAAGAACGACGCGTTTTCTGTTGGCCACAACAAATATCACAGAAATATCATACATACACTGCCCGCATATCATCACGACTGAATTTCAAAGCGTGTTATGAACGCTAAATGTGTACAAAGTACTACAAACGTCTACCGACCTAGGATTCTGCAATCTGCCCATCCCAATAGCCGATAAAAAAGCAGGAGCACGATGCCTACCAGGGTGAGACCTGCACTTCTCACTTTTTACACCAGCATTTACGAGACCTTGCCCAGCTGACTTAATAAGTATATGCGAGGAGCCTGAGGAGAGATGAGCTGGTACCCTAACTTCCACCAAAACACACCACAAAAGGCAAACAGAACATCGCACTAAGGACGTAGTACTCACAATAGCTCTTACCTTCCACGTATCTGACCGCATTTGCGGTCGGACCTGGATGCATGCGACCAAATTTAGGTCCCCCAAAAAGGTCAAATAGTTCTCTTGTGAGAATGCCCTCAGAATGGCATAGCAGCGTCCGCGGTAGACTCCATCCATATGGTCAAGCAAGTGTGTACAATCGAATGACACCGAAACTGGGGGGCATTACAAGCGTCACGCAAACCGAACCCCCCCCAAACGCTGGCCCCCAAGGTGGACATGTGTGGCATTATTATCTATGCAGCAACTTCCTGGGCTTTTTCTGACGGAGGCGGGAGGCGCTTTTCGAGTTGATGTGGAAGCCCCTTGCCTAAATGCCTCCAGCAGATTTGGGAGTGCCTCCCTCTCTGCAATCTGCAAAGTGAAGAAAGCGAAGAACAACCATTCCTCGAATCGTCTCGTCGGTCTCACCAACTTCTGTGCATGCGATAAACGTGCGTCAAGCCCCCTCCCTCCGTTCAATCAGACTTTCATTTGCAGTGTGGTTCAAAGCCTTGCTTGCACACTGCGCTGCGCTTTTTTTCCCCCACCACACTGCCCACCTCTCTCTGGCAGCAGTCTGAATCATCAGCTACTTATGTTTTTCCTCACCTCCCTGTGTTTCCAGTGCCGCTGCTCTCAAGCTTTCAAGATGAGCAGGAGAGCATACACACACCGCGCTTGTTTGCCCATGCGGGAGCAGGCTCAGCATACTTCTCTCTTCCTTGCTGCTCCTCGTATGGCTGTCGCAACACGTCCATCAGCTGGTTCAGCTCATCATACTCTCCTTTCTCCGCGTCCTCAATCGCTACTTGCAACAAGTAATTGCGAGGTATGTAACACGGATTGACGGCGTTCATCATCGCTCGCCTCTCCTCATCCGGAATCCCGTCTTCAATCAACTGCCATACAAATACACATAATACATAATCAAGACAGGATACAGGAGAGATGTGGAGAAGGGAGGAAAGGGCGTGGCAGTGCAGACAGGTGCAGGGTGTTGCACACACACACACAGAGAGAGAGAGAGAGAGAGAGAGAGAGAGAGAGAGAGAGAGAGAGAGAGAGAGAGAGAGAGAGAGAGAGAGAGAGATCATGTACGATAAGAAAGAAATTGCACTATGAAATTTGAATCATTTATCGTTTGTGTTAATACCATTTCAGAAATTGAAATTGAAATTGAAATTGAAATTCCCATCACTGATTTGGGATGAACTTAGTAGTTTTTGCTCCGTGCTCGAACCACAGGACATCACCAAAGGGCCTAAACTGACATCCTCTTTTTCCGTTTTTTTCCGTTTTTTTTCGTTTTTTTCGTTTTTTTTCTTTTTTTTTCGTTTTTTTTCGTTTTCAAGTACCTGTAATGGTAATAACCAGGCTACCGGCATAAGGGCCTTCGCCACCATCATTCAATGCTTCACCACCATCATGCAATGCCTCTCTCTGCTTTTGGCACTATGCAGCAGTTAGAATCATGAGAAAAGCAGAGAGAGGCATAAGGGCGCGCACCCAGATTATTATTTCACTTTAGAGCACTAACAAGACAAGAAACCTTGTTGAACCATGTCATCCTGAATTGCTCAGGGGCCATGCCAATCTTCGCTGTATCTTTCCAATTTCAACAAATTTCTCCAGCAGATGTTCCCATGGGCTGCTGATTGGTTGCTTCTTCTGATACTGGGAACAGTTGGGACATAGTATATGTACCATTGGGACATAGTATGTGTGTATAGTATATGTACCATTGGGACATAGTATGTGTGTACCGTTGGGACATAGTACTGGTTGTTTGATTTTTTTAGTACTATGTCCCAATGGTACACACACTGACACAGGCATGCACCCACACACCTACCCCCCACCACACCCACCCCAAAACCACACACACAAGATCCCAAATGG